ATATACATGAGTCAAAATAAACACACAAGAGGGAGCCTTCACAAAGGTTGCTTAGGAGAAGTCTCAGCAGTCGGTAGAGCCCCAGAAAGAGAAGGCACCGGAGGGGGATCATTTGGAGCCTCAGTACTGGACAGAACCCTAGAAGGAGGAGGCATCAGAGGTTGATCATTTGGAGCTTCATTACGCGGTACAGCCCCAGAAGACGAAGGCAATAAATGCCTTTGGAACAAACCCACAAATCTCTGATGATCAAGTAAAACCTGACCATCAGTTTCCTTCATCTGGTCAAGCTTCCTCTTCATGTTTGTAGCATAGTCATGTGCGAGCCGGTGCAACTGTTTATTCTCATGCTTGAGCCCTCTAATCTCCTGTTTGAGACTCATCACTTCAGCCGCCAATGATTCAACTTGGCGGGTTCGAGCAAATAGGCGTTGGGCCATATTAGACACAGAACCTGCACACTGAACACTGAGAGCCAGCGAATCCTTAACAGCTAACTCATCAGACCGTTTGGAAAGTAGTCTGTTATCTTTGGGAGTGAGAAGGTTCCTGGCCACCACCGCAGCGGTCATATCATTCTTCATCACGGAATCCCCAACGGTAAGAGGACCAGTTGAGGAGACGAAGGATGGGCGCCATATGTTGTCTGGAGAAGGCGGGGCTGCCTCTTCAACAAGGTTCAAGTCAAAACGACGGTCGGAGGGGCCAGACATTTTCAAAGGTGTTGAAGAGAGAAGAGGTCGGACAAATCAAGATCTTAGAAGTGCAAGAATGAAGCTTCTACTGGTGGAGATTCAAGTGTGCTTTGGAACTTAATGCCAGCCTCTATAAAAATCTGCACTCGACGGAGCTTCAGAAATCAAAGAGGCGCCTGCTCAGAAATCGAAGAGGCGTTTGCTTTCTCAAAAGTTGGGCTGCTTAGAGATCACGAGGGTTGATCTCAGAAATCGAAGAGCCGTTTGCTTTCTCAAAAGTTGGGCTGCTCAAAGACCACGAAGGCCGATCTCAGAAATCGAAGAGGCGCTCGCTTTCTCAAAAGCTGGGCTCCCTAGAGACCACGAGGGCCGATCTCAGAAATCGAAGAGGCACCTACTTTTCCAGCCTTGTCAGCACCTGTCACACGCACACTCAGCTTTGCGGAAATTATGGGCATTCTGTCAAAGACTTCTGGGGAAGTAGAAAACACATGAATCTTACTGTTCAATCACCCACTTCCCACACGCAACAATAGCTCATGGGTACCACAGATAACTTTGCCAAAGTTCTCTGCCAAAGTTGAGCACGTGAAGCTTGCAGCTCCCACTACATCGCTCTGACCAAGAAGGGTAAAAGAATAGCAAAGAAACAGCACTAACAAAGTTTAGACCCTTAAATTTTGAAGGTCTAGCTACCATATTATTACCCACAAGGGTAAAGGAACAGTACCACTGCTGGATAATTGGAAAGTCCATGTATGTCAACCTCTGTGCTTCGTGGCAAGGTAGACTAGCAAACATGCCCAACCTTTACTCACATTCGAGAAAACACTCCCAATAAGATTGCTTGCTCCAAAATCGAAGAGGCACCGTCCTCCGAATCTAAAGAGCCAGACTCCCAACATGACTACTTTCTTAAAAATCGAAGAGATGGTAAAGGAACAGTACCATTGCTGGATAATTGGAAAGTCCCTGTGTGTCAACCTCTGTGCTTCGTGGCAAGGTAGACTAGCAAACATGCCCAACCTTTACTCACATTCGAGAAAACACTCCCAACAAGATTGCTTGCTCCAAAATCGAAGAGGCACCGCCCTCCGAATCTCGAGAGCCACTCTCCCAACATGATTACTTTCTCAAAAATCGAAGAGACACTGCTCCCCGAATCTCGAGAGCCAGACCCCCAGCATGATTGCTTTCTCAAAAATCGGTGAGGCACCGTTCTCCGAATCAATCGAAGAGGCGCTCGCTTTCTCAAAAGCTGGGCTGCTCAGATACCACGAGGGCCGATCTCAGAAATCGAAGAGGCATCTACTTTTCTAGCCTTGTCAGCACCTGTCACACGCACACTCAGCTTTGCAGAAATTATGGGCATTCTGTCGAAGACTTCTGGTGAAGTAGAAAGCACATGAATCTTACTGTTCAATCACCCACTTCCCACACGCAACAATAACTCATGGGTACCACAGATCACTTTGCCAAAGTTCTCTGCCAAAGTTGAGCACGTGAAGCTTGCAGCTCCCACTACATCGCTCTGACCAAGAAAGGTAAAAGAATAGCAAAGAAACAGCACTAACAAAGTTTAGACACATAAATTTTGAAGGTCTAGCTACCATATTATTACCCACAAGGGTAAAGGAACAGTACCACTGCTGGATAATTGGAAAGTCCCTGTGTGTCAACCTCTGTGCTTCGTGGCAAGGTAGACTAGCAAACATGCCCAACCTTTACTCACATTCGAGAAAACAGTCCCAACAAGATTGCTTGCTCCAAAATCGAAGATGCACCGTCCTCCGAATCTCGAGAGCCAGACTCCCAACATGACTACTTTCTCAAAATCGAAGAGAGGGTAAAGGAACAGTACCATTGCTGGATAATTGGAAAGTCCCTGTGTGTCAACCTTTGTGCTTCGTGGCAAGGTAGACTAGCAAACATGTCCAACCTTTACTCACATTCGAGACAACACTCCCAACAAGATTGCTTGCTCCAAAATCGAAGAGGCACCGCCTTCCGAATCTCGAGAGCCAGACTCCCAACATGATTACTTCCTCAAAAATCGAAGAGACACTGCTCTCCGAATCTCGAGAGTCAGACCCCCAGCATGATTGCTTTCTCAAAAATCGAAGAGGCATCGTTCTCCGAATCTCGAGAGCCAGATACCACAGACCACTTTTTGAAAGTGCTCTGACAGAGTTAAAACATGTGAAACTGGCAGCTCCCACTACCGTGCTATGACCAAGCAGGGTAAAGGAATAGCATTACTACTTGTTGTTAGGGAGACTCCTATATATGTCGACCTCCATCCCAACGGACAGGCAGACCTGCAAAAATGCTCAACCCTTCATCATATCTGAGAGGGCACTCCCAACAAAGCCTTTCGAAATATTCAGCTTTCTTTCCCCCCGATAATACCTATGCAAACAAGCTATACTAGAGCAAGAATATCTCATATCATCAGGGTTAAAAGCAAGAGTATCCCATATCATGCTTTTTCCCTGTTTTTTCTTTTGGCCTTGTTTTTACCTGCAAGACAAGGAGAAAGAGAGCAATATGTCAGCACTTGGAATCAAGCTTCCAGCCAGGAACTGACTGCCTGGAACCCCTTACCTGATTACTTACCTGGCATTGCTCTCGAGTACTCATCTTCATCATCTTATGTTTCCAGGGAAGATTCTGCATCTGCTTGAGGAACAGATAGGGCAAGTGCGAAGGATACAAGGAAGCATGTGGAGACAAGCGTAACAGCACACGTGCCGATACATCCATTACTCTGTCAAAAAGCAAAAGTATCCCATATCAGCAGGGTGGAACGTACTCTAGATTTGATGGACTTGTTTTGACCCTCAAATTCTTCAGTCGGCCTTATACTCTGGAGGAAACCAGAAAACCCTCCAGCTCAGTTCAAGAATAAGCCTGTGGAAAGTTACTTCTTCAAAAGCAAAAGTATCTCATATCATCTCTTCTCATTTTTCTTCTCTTTATCCTTCATGCTGCTGCAAGATGGGGAGAATGTGAACAATCAGTCGGAGCTCTGATTGCTTACCTTGTCTGTCACCTCTTTCAGCAGACCCCCTAGCTCGGCGACTTGGGGGACTCCTACTACATGGTTTGTATCGCGCTTGACCAAGCCTGAAACTACAAGTAAGCTTCAAGTGAAATTGATACATTACCTTGTGCATCTCCACCAGTTAAAGATACCACCCCTGGATGGAGGAAGAGTACTTCCAGAGAAGATGCCACATCTACCTATGAGACAGATAAGGCAAGTCAAGACGACACCACACTCCGATACTTAGAAGTTTCGTGATTACGAGATCATTCTCCCACAATATTTCCTAATGTCATTTGTACTAAATCATTCACTCGTACTCACTAAAGGAGAGCTTGAACCTATGTACTTGTGTAAACCCTTCACAATTAATGAGAACTCTTCTATTCCGTGGACGTAGCCAATCTGGGTGAACCACGTACATCTTGTGTTTGCTTTCCTATCTCTATCCATTTATATACTTATCCACACTAATGACCGGAGCAATCTAGCGAAGATCACAAAAAGCGACCGTTTTCGTTACCTAGGATCTATCTTGCAAGAGAACGGAGAATTAGATGGAGATCTCAACCATAGAATACGAGTTGGATGGAAAGAGTGCATCCGGCGTGTTGTGTGACCGTCGTAGGCCACTGAAGCTCAAGGGAAAAATTTTATAGGACGGCAATAAGGCCAGCGATGTTGTATGGCAGAGAATGTTGGGTGGTGAAGCATCAACACGTACACAAAATGGGTGTAGCGGAGATGAGGATGCTTCGTGGGATGTGTGGGCACACGAGAAAGGATAAGATTGGGAATGAGGATATCCGAGGTAAAGTAGGAGTAGCCGAAATTGTAGGAAAGATGAGAGAAAATCGGCTCTGGTGATTTGGACATGTGCAAAGAAGGCCGACTGACGCTCCGGTTCGAAGATGTGACTACGGGACAGAGGTTCAGGGCCGAAGGGGTAGAGGAAGACCTAGGAAAACTTTGGAAGAGACTCTAAGAAAAGACTTAGAGTACTTGGATCTAACGGAGGGCATGACACAAAACCGAGCGCAATGGCGTTCTAGGATTCATATAGCCGACCCCACTTAGTGGGAAAAGGCTTTGTTGTTGTTGTTGTTGTTGTTAATAATCTCTGTTATGGAGTCGCGCATTGCTTTGTCAAGCTTCTCTGACTCAATCTCATCTCCCGTTTTAAAATTTTTACTGCAAGACGTTTAGTGTGACTATGCATACATAAGAAGTGACAACAGAATACGCAATATTGAGTGAGACTACAAACATAGATAAGATGAAAACCTGATGCCTGGAAACCTGACTGTTAAAGAATTTTTGACTAATAAAGATGATAACTTCATCAAATTGTCAAAAAAGTTCTTTCCTTCTATGTAACTGCTGCCAAATGCCGTCCTGGAAATCACTTCTGAAGTGAACAACCTAAATTGTTCATAAACTTCAATCTCTTTTCCTTCATGATTTTTCCACTCTTCTAACATCATCTCGGCACTAGCTGTCATTGCTGGGATCATACTCTAGTAAAAAGATACCATCTTTCTATTACAAAATTTATCTTCAATTTATGACACCACATTTAGTATATAACTCTTTGAGATACGACGAACTTACTTTTAAGCTTTCTCCATGAAAGGCATGGTTGGCCAGCTTTTTAAGTTTCCCCCATTTCCCCCCCTCAGTTGTACTTGTCCCCATGCTATCTCCTACTAGCTTCTTGACAAAGCCTTGGAGCTTCCTTTTTGGATAAGCTCCATCTTTGTTATTTAGTATCTCTTTGCACAACTGGGGTTCCATAACGACCAACTGAGCTTGAGAACCATGCCATTGAAGATAAATCTTCCCTGCAATCGATTAGAGATGACCAAATTTAGTTTGCAACTAAACGATTTAGAAAGTGTGTTAAGAAAAAGATTCAGAAAACATAGTAAATGAAGAGCTTGTGAATACCATATATCTTGGTCCATGTGTGAATATGAGGTTGAACTGCAGAAAATACGTTCACAGATAAGTCTCCGGGCCTGTCCATAGTTTCCATTTTCATACTCATGATTTCTTTGGTGTTTCCATGGAAAAATCTGTAAGAAGGACCTTTGATTCCCTGAAAAGCCATACGTTTCTGTATCCGAGTTGGAGTCCACCATAGTTTGTGAAATTCCTTGATGAGAGCTAAGAGAATGGACAGACACAGAATGCTAGAAAAATGACTACTGGACCCAAACAACTCATTTTTCGTTAAGTTTTTCTCTCCGGTTGTAGCTTTGAACTCATAACTATTTATTCTCGAATCAATTGTGGATAACAAAGTTAAAAAATCATATCTTATGTTCTTCTTGGATGTTTCTTTTTGGCAACAAAGTTAAAATCATATATCCTTTTTCCTGGCTTCGCTGCCATTGAGATGCCATATTCAGATACTGCCGAATGTTCTCACTGCAGGCCGCCCGGAGATGCCAAATAGGACTTGGTTGTGTTTCTTTTGTTTAGCTTAGCTTTTGTCTTTGGTATTTTTCACTTGACTTTCTTGATTTAGATGTGCCGTTAGGTTTCGATTTGGTTCGGCTATTATAAAAATGTTACATATTTCACACAAGGACAGCACAAGTTTACAGAAGTCTCCGTATCTGTCGCTACAGTTGGCTACAAAAATTTCCAAACAAAACCATGGTTGCGCTGCATCTCTTGGACAACTTTGCAATGAGCATAAGCACAATCCTTCATGCCGTGGGAATGATACATAAAAACCGAAAACAATGTCAAAAGGGGAGAGAAAATTGTGCAAAGATAAATTATAACAATTCACAGAGAAAATAAAACGAATACAGCATGTAGTAAAAATAAATGAATACATGAACGGAATCAACTTAAATAGGTTCTCATACGGTTTGCAGCCAGGATTGAATTTCGCATGATATTCTTTTGTCTTCGCTAAGACTTGTCATTCTCTATTCTATTATGGACCTAATGCAACTTTATCGGAAGCTCTGGTTTTCACTGTTCACAGTGGGCGTAGCATCACTGGAACTCCATGTTGTGGGCGAACTGTCAGAAACTGAATGGGTGAGTGTACATAACCCGGGGAAAGGGTGAAATGGTAGCGCTGCAGAATCATTGACAGAGCAATCTTTGCTTCAATAAGTGCGAAGTTCATGCCCACACAAGTTCGAGGTCACATTCCAAAGGGTATGAATGCAACCATGTTGTTGTTAGTAGCTTTAGCAACCCCTTCCGAGAATCTCTCTGGTTTGAAAAGGTTCACGTCTTGTCCCCAATATTTAGGGTCATGGTGAAGTGCTAGATTTGGAATGTGCAATTCAACATTAGCGGGAACAATGAACTTTCCCAGTTTAACCTCTTTTGCAGATTCCCTTGTAAGGAAACAACAGGAGGATATAATCTTAGAGATTCATTGATGATCATGGTCATCTGCATGCATGCATCAGATTCAAAATGAAAATTAATTAGGTTACAAAATGAATCACCAAATCAGCCTTAATCGAGAACAATATTTTTGTTACTTAGATGCTATCAATTAACTGGTTGACTTTCTTACCGTTTTCAGTTTGACAATGCCATCAGGTTGGATTCTCTTTGCCAAACAATTGTAGGACTTCCTTTCTTGCTTCCTCTTGCCAGTCCTTATAAAGCGCAAGAAGAAAGACGGTCCAAGCAAGCAAAGAGTTAGTGGTTTCTTGTCCAGCAAAGTAAAATGTCTTGCACTCGTCGACCAAATCATCCACTGAAATCCTTTGCTTCTCATTGGTATCATGATGAGCTTTCAAAAGTACTCCAAGGTAATCACTCCCAAAACCATCTTCTCCTCCAGTCATTGCCTTCTCTTCTCTTTTCTTAACAATCTTTGTTATGGTGTCACGTATTCCTTTCCATAGCTTCTCCGACTTTATCTCATCACTGGTTTTATAAAGCTTACTGCAAGTTGATAGACTAAGCATAAGAAGTGATAAATTCCATAATCCTCCAAGACTATTGCTAATGATCAGTAAAAAAAAATTTCACTGCTGAAAGGAATATCGTGAATTCTTCGGGATATATAAGAACTAACCTGATGCCAGGAAACCTGGGACTGAGAGCATTTTTGAATATGAGGACGGTTAACTCCCTCAGCATTTCAAAAATGTCCTTCCCATCCAAGTAGCTGCTGCCAAATGCTGTTCGAGAAATTACTTCTGAGGTGAACAATCTGAACTCTTCAAACACTTCAATCTTCTTGCCTTCCTGTTTCTTCCACCTTTGTAGCATTGTCTCAGAACTAGTTATCATTTCAGGAATCATACTCTATAGTAACACAATACCAGCATGCAATTAGCAAATTTTCGTTGAATCTATTCTTTTCTTATAAACAATTGACAAAGCTACTACTATATTAGTATTTGTTGCAAGAATTATATATAATTAACTGTAAGAACTTAATTAATTACTTTAAAAGCTCTCTCCATGGTTGGCCAGCTTTCTTAGTTTTATCCATTTTTCACCATCTGCCATCGAAATGCTATCTCCTAAAAGCTTCTTTGTATACCCTTGGGACTTCTGTTTTCTGTAGTTTCTATCGTTGTTGTTTAGTATCTCCTTGCACAACTCGGGTTGTGCAATGATCAACTGAGGTTGAGGACCATACCACAGAAGAAAATTCTTCCCTGTTGCAGCAAAACAACCAAACTTAAATTTGTTTTAACCAAAATTCAGATCAAAACTGTACGTAGTTAATGTAGAGCTTGTTACCAAAGATCTTGGTCCATGAGTGAATATGCGGTTGAACTGTAGAAAGTATGTCATTCGATAAGTTCCTGGGACTGCGCATAGTTTTCATCTTCATGCTTATGATTTCTTTCGTGTTTCCATGCACAAGTTTGTACGAAGGGCCTGTGATTCCCTGCAAAGCCATCAGATTCTGAATGCGAATCAGAGTCCAACATAGTTTTTGAAAGACCTTGATGACAGCTGAGAGAACGAACACACACAGAATGCTAGAAACAATGACTACTGGGGCTCCCATGCTACTCTGCATGTAGCTCCGGCTCTAAGAATTTATACTCAAATGAATTGTACGTGGATAAATATTTTAGAAACCATATCATACGATCTTCCTTGATCCTTCTCTTTGGCAGCATAATATCTTCTATTTTTTTTTACTACAACATAATCTCCTCACGTAATGCTATATTATGTCCTCTAGGGTTTGGTACGTATATCTTAGACTCTTGGTTCATGGCTTTGCCACCAGAGAAATGCCCAAATTCAAAATTTAGTCAAAGACAACCGGACTGGACTTGGTTTTCTTGCTGTGTTTAGTTTTACCTTTGTCTTTTTTATTTGTTAGTTTACTTTCTTGGTTCGGATTTTACTGTTGTTTTCATTTGGTAGCCATTTTAATTTATTATTAATTTAGAATAAAAAATATTTTGGTTGATAAGCATAGCAGTGGTGGTAATAGAGTTTAAGGAATGAGAAATGGAAGAATATATAGTTTAAGAAAAAAACAATGTTGGTTGCAAGAAATCTTACCATTAGGTTCTGGTCTTTGAACAACATATAGGTGAAGCTTAAGGAAGTCTCTGTATGTGTAGCTGCAGTTGGCTCCGGCAGTTTCCAAACAAAAACCACACTCAGCATTGGCTCTCTTGCGCAGCGTTGCAATGAACATGACAATAACATTCCCTCGCGCCATAAAGATAAACAAAGAAAGAAAGAATATCAGAAGGGGGAACAAAATTGTGCAAAGCAAGGAAAATTCACAAGATCCTTACAGCAGTTAAAATATATACAGCATGTGGTAACAATAAAATAAATTCCTAAAGGAAAATTGTGTATCAAGCTTATAAAATCCATGATTAGAGAAAGGTTTGTGCAAAGACAAATAGAATCAGTTAAGTACAATCATTCAATGAGGAAATTTAAAAAAATTCAGATTAAAGTTGAGCAGAAGTAAATAACATTAATGTCTGAAGTAGTAAAGTTGGAATCAATTTCTCACTTGCATAACTTGATGTATTTCTAGCTTAGCTCCACCAGGAGTTGATGCTAATGCCTGACTTGTGATGTCGTCCAAAATGTGTTTTGAGTTCTGCTTTAGCTCTCTTGACAGACTATTAAGAAGAGGCCCAAATAAACAAGTAGAGCTTGCGCAGGTCTCCTGGTCCTGGAACCTTGCCTTGTGAGAATTGGGAAATAGGTACTGGCCCCTGGTAGGAATGGCAGCCCCGGTCCTCTCTGATATCGGTCCCAAAGTGTCCATCTGCATAATCTTCCATCATGAATTCTGAGGAAAATCATTTATTTCTAATTCTGCTTCGTAGTGTCAATGCATGACATGAGCTTGAATATGTAAAGTGCTAGGTTAATGTTATGCTGCAAGTTCATGGCAGCTGCATGCTCAGCTTCACATGGAGGACTCACGATCTGTTTGATCTGTTCCCCCATGATGGGACAGGGAGATACTAGGTTATGCATTCCTAATTACGCAGATCCCTAAACAAAGCATCACATAAATTGTTAAACATATTTGTTTTTATTCTTTCTGTACCTTCAGCTTTCCAGCCGCCTCGCTTCGACCAATTGCGTGATGTTCTTATTCACAAGACTTCTTCGAACGACTTGTATCCCCACAGGCTTGTTGTTGTTGTTGTTGTTGTTGTTCAGGAGTAGTATCTTACGCCCCAAGGCTTCAAACCCGGGAGGGAACATGGCAGAAAACAACACAGTTTGGCCATCAGGCCTAGTTTTTGAACAATTTGAGCAATTTGGGGTTCGGAACCCATGTCAAACGTTTGATCAGCTTTGTCTGCCAATAAATATGTCACCTGGCACAGGTTATGTACTTCTCCTCCATTTATGCAAAGCGAGTCAGTCATCCTACCCTGTGTATCGACAACAATTTCAGTACCCTCCTTGATTTGCCTTAGCCTTAACAGCAGATATATATATATGCAAGGGTTCTGCATGAGCCAGTTTTTGCCAATGGTAAGGCAGTCTCTACCGCTCATAATTATAGGCAATATCTGAGCCTGAAATGGCATTGGCTTTTCATAGCTAAGTTTTTTTTCTTACCATTTCATCCAAGATTTTAGTTATCCAGCTTGGTGCCATGAAATTAAT